CTCATTTACATCATCAAGCATACCCGTCTCCAGTCCGCACAACGAAATGCAAGCCGTTAAGCCCACCGAATATCTTCGAATACAGTGTATGGGAGTACCGCTGAAGCCTACTCGGAAACACAACGGCTAGAGTCCCTCTGGGATATCTCTATCCAGGCATTACCTGAAAATTGAGTTTCAAGGTGTAATAAAGATGCTCGGGCGCGTAGTAAGCGTATACATAAGGTATAATGTCAAAGGTTTCAAGTCCAAGGTTTCAATAATTATGTCAGGGACAAGGCACCTTGGTTAATCAACTTTGATGGCGACAATCATACCTCTACCTAACGACCCGACCATCCAGTTTTCCCAAACTCAGAAGTTTCCACGCTGTCCCCGTAGTCGTAGTCACCTACATCCCGGGTGACCTGCTTGCTGCCAACGTTGAAATTGGGGCTCTGGTATGCGCGATTCTATTGCTATATAGACCTGAGATGGCCCTATGTACGAGATAGGTAAGTATACGGACGCCCCTGCATGCAAGAAAAGGACCTCGGGACGCCTAACAACGAAAATGGATTGGATTGCAGTTTCCCCTGACATCCGGCATCATACATATCGATACGCTTAGTCTGAGCTCAACAGCTCCTTGATATCCTCGATCCTCTGCATCTTCTTTTCCTCGTCTGACATCATCCCCAGTGATGTTGCTCTGCAGTCAAGTTAGGTCAGCCTTTTACCTCCCTCCACTCAATGTCATCAAGTCACTGATCGGGGACAAACTCACATAAACTTCTTCCTCTCCTGCACCCGCAGCATCCTCATTTCCACACTCTGTTTCACTATAAATCGATAAACCCTCACCTCATCCTCTTGCCCCATGCGATGCACACGATCAATCGCCTGCGCCTCCACCGCAAAGGACCACCACGGGTCCATCATGTAGACCCTCTTGGCACTGGTCAGGTTCAACCCGACACCACCGGCTTTGAGACTGAGAAGCAAAACGCAAAACTTGTTGGTGGATTGAAACTCGGTAAGAACAGCGGCGCGCGCCTTCTGGGACATGGACCCATCCAGCCGAAGAAAAAAGATTTTGTGACGTGTGAGGGCGGAGGATATCAGCGAGAGAAAGGACGTGAATTGGGAGATTACTAGGGACTTCATTTTGGGGTGCTCTTGGCGCAAGGTGCGGAGGTGCGAGATTAGAGCGACAATTTTGGCGCTGGAGTCATTGGCGCCCACGCGTTGTAGGGAGATGCGCGGCTCGGGACTTGCCCCTGGGGTAGAGGATGTCTCCAGGTCATCATCGTGGCGGATGACTTCGAAGATGTCGCGGATGTTGATGTGCTCGCGACATTGGAAACACCGCGGGACCTCGTTACGGTCGGTTTGATGTTTGATATAGTCGAGCAGACATTTCTTGCACGCAGAGTGCCAGCATCCTGTCACGGCCTGGTCAATCATTGGTTCTTCGGCGCAGATGGGGCATTCGTTGACTGCTTCGTCACGGATCTGTCTAAGAACGTGAGCGCCGAAGTTGTTGTTGGTTTCGGAGGCGTCGTCTGTGGTGGCGGTGAAGCGCTCGATCAGAGTTTGGAGGTCCATATCGTCTGCCAACCCCGCCGCAACGTCAGCGGCCATATTGGCTTCCTCCTCATCAGCGAGGATTTCCTGGTTGCGAACAAGCACAGGGTGGCAGCAGGACTGCCGGAGCCGCAAGATCTGTGCGAAAATGGAGGTAAACGCCTTCATGACGGTGCCGGCCTGCATATTGTCAAAGAACGTTCGCTTGGCGCGGTTGAAGACGTAGTCGTAGACTGCCCTTTCAGGCTCGGAGAGTTCGATGTCGACGATCTCGATGTGTTTGGGCGGAAGCGGAACAAGGAACTGGCCATCGGGGGTCTTCATGTCTTTGGTGCGGCGCATGACGAGCGGTTCGAGGACGGTTTGGACGACGTCTAAGGCGCGGACAAAGTTCTTGGACTCAAAGGGGACGGTGATGAATGTCCGCCAGAAGGAAAAATTGTTCCATGGCTCAACGCGTAGGAAACGGACAAGGCTGAAGAGGTCTTCGAGACGATTGACAATGGGGGTTCCGGTGAGGACCCAGCGGTGTTCGGCGGCGATTTCGTAGCATGCGCGGGAGGTCTTGGCTTGGCGGTTCTTGATATTATGTGCTTCGTCCAGAATGACACGGAAGAAGTTGAGGGAGAAAATCCCGCGGCTGCTGAGTCTGTCTCCATTCTTGGTGGTGAGTTGGGTAAACTCGGAGAGGACGACTCCATAGCTGGTGATGATCACGTCTGGAGCGTTGGCCGCGTTGGCTTCGCAGCACATGGTCACCAGATCGACATTCTTTTCCGCCCCGTAGTACATCATGGTCTTGAAAGTGCCCTCCTTGGAAGCATTTTCAGCTTCGCTTTGCCATTGCGCCAGCAAGGACATGGGGGCAACCACAAGGGTTGTGCACGGAGCGTCAACGGTGGTCTTCTGTCCAGAGACTGTTGGTAGACGTGGGAGGTTGTTGACCGAGGTAGGGCCAGCCTCCCGCGCCTTGATGGCTACTTCGGATCGGTGTGAATGAATCAGAGAAAGCATCTGGATGGTTTTGCCTGCAATACACGACTGTGAGCTGGAGATAAGGTCAGAGAAACAACAAAAAATAAAAGGCAAACTCACCAAGTCCCATTTCGTCAGCCAAGATTCCACCAAGACAATGCTGCTCTTGCTTGGGGAAGTCCAGTGACAGATCGCCAGAGTATGGGTTGACGTAAAAGCAGGGCTGGTCAGGAACCACAGGTAGGTCCTTATCGTCATGGTCCTTGGTCGGCCACATGTACTCTTCCCATAAGGGATGCATGGATGTTTCGCGGTCTTCTGTTCGCTGGTTCTTCTCCTTGGCCAGCATCCAGTACAGCGACTGCTTCTGGTATGGACGCAAGGTCATGGCGAAGGTGTCAGCTGGTTCAGCTTCGGGGGTGCTAAAGTCGAAGGATTGGGCCTTCTTGTACAGCGCGTCGAGTTGGTCTTGCTCGAGCTCCTGGCCCTCTTCAGCCTCTTCGGGGGGAGAAGCTGATCCGTTAGTGTTATGGTCCCCAGCCTTGGCCTTGTCCATCGCCTTCTTCTCGGCCGAATCTGCTGCTTCAAGAAGGTCTTTCCTGGCGTCCTTGGCGGCAGCGGCGTTGCCTCGAGACGGAACAATGTTGATCTCTTGAAACAGTCTGACAAGCGCCACTTGTCTCAGCCGCAGGTCCTTCTCTTCTGTTGTCTCGTCTTTCTCGTGGAACCCGGCAGCCCTATTGTCGGCTAGTTGGAGGGTTCTCCCCAAGAAGGCAGACCGTAGCATGTAGCACTTGAGCTGCAAGAAGACGGTCTCGTTCGTTCGTAGTCGCTCGGGCGCGTAAACACAGATGCCTTCGAATCTGCAGATGTCCTGGTCTATTAGTGTCGACACCCAGTTGGCTGTGTCTTTGGCTAGACGGCCGAGTTCCCTGCCACTGGCGTCGTTGAAGCGGACTATGACATCGACGCGTTTGGCAGCCGCCGCGCTGACTCGTGGTATGGACTGCGGGGTGCCAGGCTTAGTCTGCCCTTTTCTTGCAACGGTGGGTGGTTGGATCTTTTGGCGCTCAATCTTGACGCTGTCACCGTGTCTGAGGAGGCCTGTCCCGCTTCTGGTAGCCCATCCCTCAACACCAAATGCGCCGACGTAGCGGGCCTCTGGCATTGATGGGAAAACCTTTGTTGGTGCGTTCAATTGCGGCTGTGGTTGGGCTTGAGCGTGCGACCGCGAGCGTGCTTGTGATGTTGATGATTTCTTGGGAGACTGACCTCCTACAACCAGGGGCGAATGCGAGTTGACTTTGACGGGAGGCGCCCGGTGTAGCTTCTTCCATGTTCCGTCCAGGTACATGTTGACGGCTCTTTCGATGTTGTTGCCGCAGTTCTTGCTGATGACGTGGAGGATATCGGACGCAACTTTTTCGCCAACAAAGGCTTCGAATGTGTCTTTGTCGAACGCCAGCTGGGGGGACTCGACCACTGGGGGTGCCACGTCCCGCGGCGTCGCGATCGGAGTATCGACGTCTTTCAAGAGATATCCTTTTCTGGGGTCTGGTTTGGGCATGTCGTTGAGCCAGGGAGCACATATCTTCGTGGCGTGGGGCGTTAGGGTGCCATGGTCTGTGAAGAATCTTGGGCGTTCTTCGTCGTCGTCGTCATTGTCGTGATTGTCGTCCGCATCTTTGGAAACTCGTGGCTGGACTTCATTGTTTGGGTCTTGGAGGAGTTTCTTCCTGGGTGGTGAGCTCGGGGGAGCACTGAACTGGGGAGACGAGCTGGGGCCGGCAACGACATGGTCCGAATCACCCTGGTCGCCCAGGAACCGGCGCTTCTTGGAGGGAGGCTCGTTGGTGAAGTCCATGGTGTCGTGTCGGTCCATCCAGGTGTTGGTTGTTCAGCCCATTAGGTTCAAGGTAGGTAACGAAGTAGTCGTACCACTGGTGTACACTACGGTATCAGTCAGCTACTGTCACCCAACCGACTCGGAATGCACCAACTGCAATGGTGAACTTCAGTGTTGCGCCCGTAAGACGCGACTGTGCCGTGGCAACCGTGAAACTTTGGCGTGCATTCGTTTCCGCCTTCCCGCTGTCAGGTGATTACGCGCCACCCTAGGTAGGTAATTACGCCCTCTGCAGTGTCGGGTACATCTGATATGGAAAGCCAGAAGCTTGGGCCACTGAAGCCATTTAATGCCGTCATCGCTGCTAACCATAAAGGCTTTAGAGGCGCCGCGCTTGTGATGCTGAGGGGCGCAGCGTAACATGGTCCCAGCGAATTGTCAAATCAACATGTCCTGTCGTCGTCGTCGGCTTGTCTTCCTCCCCGCCGCTGCCGAGGTTGTCTTGTCTCTTGTTACAGTGAGAGATGTGAACCAATTTGGGACAGCGGGGAAAACAGTACCGCTTCTTTGATCATGATATCCCCTCGAGCGGCAGGTTGTTGTCATGGCCTGAGGCGGGCACCTGTACGGCCCCGTCTACGTCTCCAGCCTCAGAGGCCTTCGTGGCAGCCTTCCCTCCCCGGACGAGGCCTCGCGACAGTCACAGACGGCGACGTCGAAAAGGCCCGTCAGTACTGTGAGAACCAGCTCAAGTCTGTCTCTGCCTTCCCTCCCCATACCTAGCTATTCTTCCCACTTGCCCTTCCTTCTCTGCTAACTCTTTCTCTCCCCACCCCAGACATGGTGACTACGAAGCTTTTCTCCTCCGACAATTCGTCCCTCTTTCCTCTCGGGACGCCTACAACGCTCTCCGTACCCTGAACCTCGAACTTGCCCGTCTCCCAGAGACCGTCTCCAACCCGACCATCGCACGCATGCGCATGTCCTTCTGGCGTGAAACCGTGAATAGCGTCTTCGCCGGCAACCCCCCACGCGAGCCCATCTCCATCCTCCTCCACCAAGCCATACAAGACCTCAAAGCCCGCGCCGGCCCCAGCAGCGCTAGCTCTCTCAAGTTCTGGCTCCTACGCTTGATCAACACGCGCGAGCAACACATGGAAAACAGGCCCTTTGTCAGCTTGAACTCGCTGGAAGACTACGCCGAGAATACGTACGCGACGCTAATGTATATGACCTTGGCTTCCATGCCTTTGCGATCAGTACATATGGACCACCTGGCTAGTCACATCGGCAAGGCGTGCGGCATCGTAGCCACACTACGCGGCATTCCCGTTCTCGCCGCTCCATCGCAGCCCATCCAGGGTCCGGCTGGGAGCGTGGGCAACACCCGGCATCCCGCCCTGCTACTACCCCTCGATGTGATGGCTGAGGTGGGGGTCAGAGAAGAAGATGTCTTTCGCCACGGACCCAACGCTGAGGGACTGCAGGATTCCGTGTTCAAGGTGGCTACCAGGGCCAATGACCATTTGATTACGGCGAGGGAGATGTTGAAGAACTTGAAGGCCGGGGAAGAGGTGGGCCATGAATATGAGCATGAGGGAGAACAAGAGCATGTCTACTCCAGCGGTGGGGTCGACGCCACACAAGCTGATATCAAGAGGGGGTTTGGGGTGCTGTTGGAAGCAGTCCCGGCTGCCGATTACTTGGAAAGGTTGGAGAAGGCTGATTTCGACCCGTTCAAAGTCAAGGCGAGCTGGAAGCTTCCCTGGAGGTTGTGGCGTGCTCTGAAGACACAGCACATTTGAGTCCTCTGTTTGTGCCGTATCCGAGGCCAACGAGCCACAATCGAGATTCTTCTTTCCATCACGTCTCGTACTCTTGGTGCTGACCGTCTGTGACGACACAGGATCGATCTCGATCAAGACCGCGAGCGTACACTCCGTGACTATCGCTTAGCCCGATTATCATGAATAGGCAAAAGTCTGCAATCGTCGACAGCATCAGCCCAGGTCTTCTTGTCCCTTTGAAACGGCTCGAAGCGTCCTCGAGGCAAAGTGTTGACATGGTCTCGGTAGGACCATCGTACGACAGAGAGGCACATGACCCCATTGCAGAGGGTGGTAGTTGAAAGCACAACATCCAACACCAAGCCCGATATTGCTTGCAATCTGGGGCATAGCAACCACTTTATAAGAGCGTTCCGTGTGGCGTGTTCTCGCCGGTCCTGAGTAGTGGGAACATGGGTAGCGGCTACATTTCAGCCTATTCTTAGGTACCTACCTACCTCTGCGAACACCCAAACCATCTTCGTTCAGGCCCAATTAACTCCAAGCTCACCCACCAACTTCTAGCCTATCATCGAGAATCAAGACCGTCGTTCGCGATCGGTTCTTAAAACAGCGAGTGGCTCTGCGGCTTGCTCTTCCGTCGAAGGATTTCCAGTGCAGGGCTGGCATCTCGCTAGTATTTCTAGCCGCCCTCGCCTCGGTCTCATCAAGAATCCTCGACAAGGTAGCAGGGTCGCATTGACAGGTGCCGACGCGTGTCCTCTGTCCATATTCCGTACAAACTTTTGTTTCAACATCATCAGCCCAAGATGCCAAGAGCTTGGAATGACTGCTGAACATGTTCATCAATCTTGGCATATGTGAAGGAAGCAATCTGTAGGCTGATATGTTAGCCGGACCAATCACTGGCGAACTTGCACACACTGCCTCCCTCCGAATCTCTAATCCGCAACGGCTCGACGGGATCCCTACAGTCACATAATCCTCCGCATCAAATACTCCACGGTCAAAGACCGCCGAGACGGCTCAGTGACCAACCTTCGGGGAGCTTGATGCCGTGGTTCTTGCGTTATAACCCCCGCACTTCATTAAGTCCAGCCGTGGAAGCTGGAAGGGCCTGATGTTCATCCCATTCCTTAACGTCTCCTGTGTGCCAAAACGGGAAAGAACAGAAACAGCTCCGATAGGCCAATATCTTTGTGACCGGTTCGACAAGATGAAGCACTCACCAAGCTATATCATCCCTAGTGAGCTGCCTTCCGTACATCGCCAGGCTTCAAACTTGGTCGTCCCATCCCACTAAATAGGTTTTTACTCTGATTCAGTACCTCGTCCATCATGTGGCTTCCACTCACCCTGCTCACTGCCACGGCGGCCCCCATCCTCGCCAACCCCCTAACCTCTCCACTCAACAAGCGTGCCGCCATCGACGACTGCCTCAAATCTGCCGGCGTCCCAGCCGATGCTCAAGGCTCCTCCGACTGGCGTGCCGACGTCAACCCTTTCAACCAGCGCCTGCCCTACACGCCAGTAGCCATCGCGGTCCCTACCACCATTGAACACATCCAAGGTGCCGTCTCCTGTGCCGCCAAGCTGGGAATTAAAGTTACCCCCAAGTCAGGAGGGCACAGTTATGCTTCGTTTGGTCTGGGCGGAGAGAACGGGCATCTGGTCGTGGAGTTGGATCGCATGTCGAAGGTGACGCTGGATTCGACGACGAATATCGCAGATGTTCAAGCGGGAGCGAGACTGGGGCATGTGGCGACGGAGCTGTATAAACAGGGCCAAAGAGCTTTCTCGCATGGGACTTGTCCTGGGTACGTTTTCGTCTCGTGTACCCCTGCTTCTTGGCCCGGCCGTTGCTAAATACCTAGGAGGGAAACAGAGTCGGGGTAGGAGGCCACTCCCTCCATGGCGGCTTCGGCTTTTCCTCGCACACCTACGGTCTTGCAGCAGACTGGATCGCCGCCGCCACAGTCGTCCTCGCCAACAGTACTGTAGTTACCGCATCGCCAACCGAGAACCCGGACCTCTTCTGGGCTTTGCGTGGCGCTGGGTCCAACTTTGGCATCGTGGCTTCCTTCAAGTTCAACACCTTCGCTGCGCCCTCGCAAGTAACGGCTTTTCAGATTAACTTGCCCTGGAACTCAGCGTCGTCGATTGCATCCGGCTGGGGGAAACTCCAGGACTGGTTGGCGGCTGGCAATATGCCGAAGGAGATGAACATGAGGGTCTTCGGCTCGCCGAGTCAGACGCAACTTCAGGGCTTGTATCACGGGAGTAGCTCGGCGCTGAGGACGGCTGTGCAGCCCCTGTTGAGCACTCTGGGAGCGAGCTTGAGCAATGCGCAGCAGTACGACTGGATGGGAGCGTTTACTTATTATACATATGGCGGCACGGTGGACGTTACGCATCCTTACAACACCGTAGGTTCCCTCTCCTTCCTTTCTTCCTCCTCCAGCAACTAATCTTTTGCCAGGTCGAAACCTTCTACTCCAAATCGCTCGTTACCACCGCCCTCCCTTCCGCGGCTCTGAACTCCGTCGCCAACTACTGGATCAACACCGCCAAGCGCGTCTCGCGCGACTGGTTCATCATCATCGACATGCACGGCGGTCCCAAGTCCGCCATCACCTCCTCCACCACCAATTCCGCCAACTACACGAGCTCTTACGCCTATCGCGCCCCGGAATACCTCTTTCTTTATGAGCTCTATGATCGTGTGATCTTTGGAAGCTATCCCAGCAACGGATTCAGCTTCCTAGATGGATGGGTGAAGAGCTTCACGGACAACATGAAACAGGAGCAGTGGGGAATGTACATTAACTACGCGGATCCCACGATGAAGAGGGCCGAGGCCGTGGGGAACTATTACCGTAGTAGCCTTAGCAGGCTGCAGAAGGTGAAGGCGCAGTACGATCCGAACGAGGTTTTCTACTACCCGCAAAGTGTTGAGCCGGCCAAGTAGGCTGGGACGGGAAGATGGGAGGGGGATGCATGAGAGCGAGAGTGAATGGAGTATTGGCCCTCCGTTGAGACGTCGAGCTCGTGGGTGTGTACAAGGTAGTAAGGAAGTGCAGCGTCAAAGAAAGATTCTTCACAACTACCCATCTTGGCCTTCACGGGTTGTTGCTTCGCTTGCTCATGAAAAATGTTTGTTTATATTCGTTACAACGGCCGATGGCGATATCGGTGGATAGAGGTAACAACATGCCGGTTTTCCACTATGGAAATTCGGCTTAGAAGGACTGTAGTAGCTCGGTAATTGCCCTACTTAGGTAGGTATGGTTGAAGTCCCAACCTACCTCTACGCTTTTAAGCACTAAAGCATATTCGTTTACACATAACAGCGAAGATTTGTCATCGTCGGGTCGGCCTCATCGCACGTCATCGCTCCCCGCTTCGCGACTGCACTTCCGCTGTTCATCACAGCGACACGCGATTTTGTCTTTCTGAACAACGCCAAGGCAACCAGACAAAATGTCGAAACTCGGCATCAACGACAAGATCAAGCTAAACAGCGGATATGAGATCCCCCAACTGGGTTTCGGAGTGCGTGATACCCGAGTGACCGCCGCTCGCGTGCATCTCACACTGAGCCCCCTTCTTATCAACGCTTCATTGCGACTAACGCCTTCCTCACTTTGCAGGTCTACCAAACGTAAGACCCTTTGGCCATTCCGCTTACAACTAGAGCTTCCTGTAATTCTAAATATCACTCCAGTCCCGCCGATCAAGTAGACAAAATCGTCCAGGAAGCCTTCAAAGTCGGCTACCGTCATGTTCGTCCCAACTTCCTTCCCTCTTCTGCCCTTTCCCCTTTTGTCTTACTAACTTGCTTTCCCTTTGCAGGTCGACTCCGCCTCTGCCTACCGCAACGAAGCTGGTTGCGGCGCTGCCATCCTCCGCTCCACCATCCCCCGCTCCGAAATCTTCTTTACCTCCAAAGTCGGCCCCAAACACATTTCGTACAACGCCGCGAAGCGTATCATCTCCGAATCCCTTACCAAAACGGGCCTAGAGTATATTGACCTCATGCTCCTGCATGCTCCCTACGGCGGGTCTGTCCACAGAAAGGGTGCCTGGCTAGCGCTCGTCGAAGCTGTTGAAGAAGGGAAGATCCGCTCCATTGGTGTCTCCAACTACGGTGTGCACCACCTCGACGAACTCGAGCAGCATATCAAAGAGCTGGAAAAGGAACGGGGCGGGCCTGGCAAGGGAGGAGTGTTAAGTGTAGGGCAGTGGGAGGTTCATCCTTGGTGTCCTCGCAAAGATATCGTTGAGTGGTGTCGCAAACGCAACGTTGTCGTTGAAGCGTATGCGCCCATCGTAAGGGGGGAGAGGTTCGGTGAGCCCGGGTTGAAGAGCCTGGCCGAGAAGTATGGAAAGACCGAGGCGCAAGTGCTTGTGAGGTGGAGTTTCCAGAAGGGGTACGTGCCGCTGCCGAAGAGTGTGAGGTCGGAGAGGATCAAGGAGAACGCGGATGTATATGACTTTGAGCTGAGCGAGGAGGAGGTGAAGGCGCTGGAGACGGAGGAGTACAGCCCGGTGTGTTGGGACCCGACGACGAGTGAGCTGGATAACTATAGTGGACAAGAAGTTTGAGGGGATGGAGTGAGAACAGCGCGCAGGCAAGATGGAAATGGTGGATGCACTGATCTTTGGCTTGGCTCAGCAAGTTAGTCCCTACGCCTGCACTCTACTCCATTCTCGTGTTTTCCAACTGCTCGCCAATCTAGGTATATTCCAATTGTTACCTCTAGGTAGGTATGTCCTTCTCTTTGTCAAAGGCATCCCACATATTGATCGGCACGGTGCAACGGATGTTTCGGCTGTCGGCCTTGACCACAACAGTTACCTAGAGGTACCGAATATGCCCTCGCTTGTGTCTGGTAGAGAAAAACAGCAACATGAGAAAAGAGACAACGAGAAAGGGAAGCTAAAAGCCTGACGAAACACGACAACGAACGGATAGCGAAGCCATTAAGAAATCAATCTTGGCGAGCCCAGCTGCGTGCTTTGGCAGTTTATGCTTAGATTGCTATCAAGTGTGGAAATTGATGATGGGGATTATCAAGGGGAACTTTTAGCGCTTAATTCGTAGATACTTATTTACAGGAAATTTAGTCCGAACGAAATCTATCTTGCCTCAAGGTCCATGTTCCGTCCCATTTTGGATCTCAGACCCACATTTGGATATCAGCCTTGTCAATAACAAGGCTGTCGCTCGAAACAAGCGCCATCCACAGCGCTGTTACACATTTTGTAAGCACTATGATTTCAGGAGAGCGGAGGAAGAAGCCTCAATTTCTGTACAGAGCTTTATACATAATACCAAGTGATCGACATAATGCAAATACAGGCATCGCACAATTCATTGTCAAAGGCGCATATTTCCATGTTACGGCAAATACGGAGTCTCGTAGTATTTGTGACGGCGTTATGCTAATGCTTCCCGTGGCTACCTCTCCCCATGTATGTGAACATGCGGTCAACAAGCCTTCCGTAAGTCCAGCTCTTGATGATTGTAGTTTCAGGTCCTTTTTAAATCGGGTTCTGGGCTTCCGAGCGTAATATAACGTGCATGAAGCACCTAGGGTCCTAGACACTAAGGCGACAGGGACTCGTAAGTACATCCAAAACTGTCACCAGTAAATACAGCATATATCGTAACCATGCGAATGGAAACTCACTTTGGGACCCGGCGCCTGGGACAAGGTTTTGGCGTCAACTATGAGCACGAATGTATTGAAAGCTGCCCTGGAATTCGTCCGCCTTTACTTTATATGTACCCTCTTCACCTGGAACCCCAACAAACAAGTTATACGCCCGTATAGCTCAGTGGTAGAGCGCTTCACTCGTACTAGCCATCTACGTAATGAAGAGGTCCGCGGTTCAATCCCGCGTGGGGGCACACTTTTTTCCAGCTTTCTTTTTGCCTTTGCTATCAGCTTCCTCCCTTCTTTTCTCATCCTTCTTCCAATCTTCCTTCCTACATTTCCACCTCATTTGCGTTGTGGCAGATTCCAGTCTCAAATCCATATCATTATACTTAAAGGACATGAACTTACTAAAAGACCAGCCAGCCATACAGGGTCACCTAATTAACGCCCTATTGTGGTTCCTTCCATTCGCAGTCGTGGCTGAGCGGGGTAGTCAAGTCTTCAAGCCAGGCGTTGGCAAAACTCAAATAAGGAACACCACCGGAGGTTGTGAAGGGGCTTCGACGATTCACTCGGCGTCAACCCAGCCAATGCCAGTCCAGTTAACGAGTGAAGTTTGACAAGAGGTTGTTAGTATGACTTCAATGCTGATCTCTTTGCCAAAACTTAAAGCCGTCGATCATCCAACTTTAAAGGAGAGATGAAGGAGGGCTTGGCACAGCCAACTAAATAAAGGTTTAGGTACTACTAGCTCATCACCATATCGAGATCTTGGGAGCCAAAACAAATAGGGACAAGGTTGATAGCATCTCTAGAGTAGTATTTGCGGTTGGCCTATGAAATGTGCTGCTAACCTACTGAATATCGAGTGTTGCTGCTGTAGATTATAGGTTGACCCTCGTGACTGTATTGGTCACGTCATTCTTTGACTTCTTATTTCAGTAGTTGACCGACTGGAATGTCTCATACCTTAAGGTAGATTCTCAACTCGTCGTAGTTCAAGAGGAAGAAGAGATGAAGAGAATGGTGGGCTGACATGGATCAAGTAACCACGGCTCGGTCATACTGGACCAAACCAAGTGGCATCTCCAAGGCACCGCAAACCGGCTCTAGCCACCATCACTGCCTGCTTACATAGAAGTACATTGCGAACAAATTGTATTACAGATGAACGCCAGACACCCTTTCTTAAGCCTCCGGGGCTGTTCCCTGTGCTAATACTACAAAACTCCGACAACGCCAGTGCATGCCACACCCTCAGCTTGAGCTAGGCCGTACATCCGTAAGAGATATCACGTCAAGAAAACTGATCAACCATCTCCCAAGATCGCCCCCAAATCCTTCATCCTAACCGGCTTCGTCAAAAACAAATCCACCCCGCTCGCCAGCGCATCCTTCTGTATTGTCCCGCTTGTGACTCCTGTGAGCGCTACGACTGTTGCGGGCTCCAGACCATTGATAAGTTCCCCTTCCGTGCTGTTCGCCTCTAGCCCTGTAACACCTTCATCACCCTTCTCTTCGCCGTTGACTTGCTGCACATTTTCCGCTTTCAGGTCCTGTACCACTTGAGCATCCCCATCTGTAGGCGCACCCCTGTCCTGATCCATGAGCGGAGCTGACGCGAGCTCAATTCCATTGAGAGATGCCCGTCCAGCCTTCTTCTGGATAACTCGCTTCCCATTTCCAGCTCCACTCACGGCACCGGCTTCGACATCCGCCTGCACTTCAACATCACGCATGTCTACAAAATCCAAACTCCCAGCTCGAGCCCTTGCCGCATTCGTCACCTCGGTTGCTACACTCCCCCTTTTAGTGCTCAGACTCCTTCCCAAGCTCCTGCTCCTTTGCACAGGGTACTCCCTCTCAAACTCCCTGATCTTCCTCGTCGCCTCCAACCCGTCCATCACCGGCATGCTGATGTCCATCAACACCCACTTGTACCGTCCCGGGTTCTCCTTGTAGATCTCCACTGCCTCCAGTCCGTTGCGGGCAGTCGCATAGGGGCGATGCGTCTTACGCATTGCTGAGGCGAGGATGTGAAGGTTGATGGGGTTGTCGTCTACTAGGAGGCAGGCCTTTTCTTCCTGGTTTGGTGAGAAATTGGAAGAGATCTTACGGGGTTGAGAGGGCGAGTTTGACAGGGATTGAGAGGGGGGCGAAGGTTGGGATGGGGAGGAGGTTGTGTTGATAGAGAAATTAGATGCCTTTGAGAGGCGACGTGTATCGAGATGAAGTTCAGGTGGTTGCCCTCCCGTGAGCACAGGTGAGGTTATTAGTATTGATTGCTGGCGCTGGGCTTCGTACG